TGTTAATTAAGTTGTCAGTTCTGCAAGGAAGTGAAAGGAAAAAAAAAAAAAACCCAAAAAAAACCCCACAAACAAACCAACCACATAAGGAAAGACCTTGGTGTCCTGGAGGGAAAGTTGAATATGGATCAGTGGTGAGAGCATTCAATGACTGAAGTTAACTTGAGATTGGACCAAATCAGGAGGAATGTAGCCAGAAGGATAAAGTGATTTAGTGTTTTATTTGAGTCTTACCTTTAAAGATTGCTTAATCTATCAGTTTGAATTATATTCTTCCAGGTGCTACATTACATCTATTTGGCAAACACGAAACAGAAGAAGGGTTCCACACTGGAAGGAGCTTTTAACTTATGCAACTAGATAATTTGGACTAAGGAGACTAAGGACACTTAAATAGTGCATCTGTCTTTATAAATCAGGGCTGACCAGGAACTTCTGACAATCACTCCTGAAAACTATTTCTTTTACCTTGGTTCTATTAACAGCAAAACAGGTTCTATTTTCCTTGCAAGTATGCATCCGCAGTACTATCACATTACTATTTAGGAATTTTTTATGAGGTTATTTGAGAATACAATTGAAATAAGCAAATTTAATTAATCTGGAGTAGTGTGCACCCTCTTAAACAAGGATCTTGTTGTGCACCTAATAAGATCAGTGGAATCTTTTACATTGATTTTATGGTTAAGAAAATAGAGACTATTTTATATTGAAGTGAAATAAGTATTTCAATTAATTTCAACCCCAAGCTCTTAAGGAATATTTAGGAAGATCATAGGTGTAAAGATTTTAATAAGGTCAAATGGTATTTACCTGTAAACTAGGTGAAAGCTTTGATGTTAAAGACATTTTCAATAGAGGAAACAATATTTACTAAAACCCTACACCACAAAATACAGGATGTAAGTGTCATCAGTTTATTCCAAACTTTTAAATATTATGTTTATATTAAGTGTCTGACAAAATAAACATTCAGTTTCCTTCTTAATCAAGAAATACTATATGTTAAGTTGGTGATGACATAATTCAATATAAATTTAACAATTGCTTTTTTGCATATATTTTCCAAGGAAAGCACTGTAAAGTGTCTTCTGTTCCTACCCCTGCTAAAACAGTGTCTAGAGAAACACGCCTTGCAAAGTATGAGCCTCCCTAAAAACTGTGTCCAGGCAGTTCCAGAATGCATGTAACCTCTAAATAATGATATAGTTAATACTGAGGTCCTCTTTCCCAGAACACAATAAGGTTGGTCTGTTCCCAAAACTCTCCAACAGTTTGAACATTCTATTTCAGCCATTTCAGGCAAAAGAGAGAAACTTTACTTACCACTGAACACTAACTTTAGACCCGATTTTAAAACCAAGTCAGTCGCTTAAGTGGCAAACTTCACTGAGGCCCAAAACAAATTGACTGAAATAAACTGTTATTTTGTGTACTCTTTATATTTAGTTTAAAACATGAAATGTCCTCATAGTATAGTTCTATTCTTCAAGCTATTTTATAAACCCAACTTAGCAAACTCAACTTCTCTTCACCATTTCTCAGGTCTGTATTAAATGTACTGTGAACCAGCCTAGACCTCAGAAGGAAAGCAGACATACTGCTTACAAGGATGCCATTAGACCAGAAGCCTGTTGATCCAGAGTTATTTAGGTTTGTACATGCTTGCCTAGGCAGCCCTCAGCTGACTGTATGCTTTGGGGTTGTTTATAGTGAAGCTCCAGAAATGAAAAAGTACAATTATGATTTTTTTTTTTTTTTCTTAACCTGGTTCATAAAAGCAGGCTTTAACATTTTTCCTTGATACAGATTATTTTTCAGTCTGCTATTTCTGATTTTTTTTCCGTATTTGCTCATTTTTAATGTTATTTCTGTTTTTAAGTATCTGAATCTGTATCAGCACATTTTTCATACTACATTGACAAAACAATACAACTGTTCAGATTCAACTACTCAAAAATATTGGCTGAAAAAAATTAATAGCTGTTCTTGCTTCCTTCAAGTTGTCTCTTTACTTTTAAGACGTCTGTTTCATTTGTCCCTCCAGTATGTTACCAGCTATTTTTACATCCATTTTCTTAGCTGCCAGCACATAGTGCTGATGCATATACATACACAACAAGAATATATTTTCGGGTGTGTGTGTATGTGAATCCATGTCAACAAGCATTCCTTAAGTTAATGAAAACATTTATATCACTGTTATATCAAGTCAATTACAGGAACTGACAAATTCCAGCATAATTTCATATTGCACAGAAGAAAGGTGTGTGATATTTTTTGACAAATAATTATTTTATTTTCCCTTATTAGGCACTAGGATCTTCCCTATTCAATCTCATTTGTTTTGAGGCTTATCGTGTCATTTTCCATGGCTCAATCTAAAATTGTGAAAACAATTTCAAAATTGATTATTCGTATTTCTAAAATAATGACATTTTTACAATACAAGCATGGCTGTTTGTGTACTCAATGTAATTGTATCCATATATTCATAGGCAATGGATTTTGCTGTTTTTTTCTCATTACTTTTTTTTTTCCAACAAGCAAGAAATGCAAGATTTTACTTAAATTAGACAATGGTACTATAATCAATGGCAATTTTTTTTTTTTAAGCTGCAATATCTGTATGAAATACATTTGCAAAACTAACCTGTGATCTAAAATACAAAATAAATCAACCAAGTCTAACAAGACAATCAGACACTGCATTCTGAATTACTCTATCTGAATTTTAATTACACTATGGCAAGCCCATTTAGGCCGTTAATACCCAAGATACTGATTTCTTAACAGTGTCATAAAACATAACACACATACGAAAAAGCACATTAATTGAAGCTCAATTACAGAACTCTGCTAATATTAATAACACTGCCTGCCACATCCTTGCCATTTCATCTCACAAGGCTAGGAGCTAAACCAACCGAGTACTCCAAACCTGCAGCTGATACAGTTAATCTGAAATTGAAGGCAAGAATACTTTGTGCTAATTAAAAATATGGGGAGAGAGGAGAGAGGGAAGCATCCTGTTGTTCTGATTCCATAATCCAACTCACTCTCCTAGCAGAAGCAAGCAGCATCTAGGAACCCTGCAGCATTTCTTTACCTCACCCAAGATTTAAGGAGTGCCCTGTGCAACAACAACTGCCTAAATGGCTATGAATTCCTAGAAGAAACACTTGCCTTTCGTAACAACAAATCATACAATTTAAAGAAAAAATTGAAATTCATGATATGAAAGGAGTCGAGACATTACAAGGCAGCACCAGGCTCCTGAAGTTATTCCCCCCACCCAGAAGTAGTACAGGGGAAGATATGAATATTTCCAGTGAAAACCCATGAGACTGATGGCAAGCCTCCACTGCTGCTGGGAACAGCAAACATGAGTTACCTACACGCTCTCCCAGTACATCACAGGATTTTTTTTATGCCAGACAGAAAATCCTGAGACTCCTCCTTCCTTGCCTTTGTATCGCAGCAGGCTGAAAGCTTCTACTCTTGAAAGAGAAGAGTTAAGCATTTCCTTTACCATACTACTGAAAGACATGGCATAGGTGTGTTTACTGGGGAAATCCGGGATGACAGAATTTGGGATGCACTGCTATGCACTTAACCATTTCTTGGTGAGGTAACCTTCTTCAAGAAGGTTAAATGTGTTTAGAAACTCTTCTCTAGAAAAACACATGCCACAACATAGCAGTCATCTCTCCTTTTTAACACTCTTTAAAACTACCTGTACTTAATAGTCATGATTTTAAAATTCTGCATTTGTAATATCGAACAAAATATGAAAGAAACTATGCTTATGGAAAAATAATATTGTCAGTCTTTGCAGCAATCTTTAATTAATCAAGGAAATAATATCACTGAGACTTGATCAATGTACAATTTATTTAAAGCATAAATATTAACTGCATTAAAGGATTTTATTGCCTCAGACAGAAATCATCACCATTAAAGAAATACTACACATTTCTAACTTGCCTGAACCACATTTTTTCCTAAGGAACACAAGAAATAAGAAGACATACCTGTGTAAACACAAACTGATAAAATGTTTTTCTTAAGAAATCTGACATGTAATTCCATTTAAATTCTGTGCTTTTTGTATATGATAAACTTTATGCTTATGATTTACAATTTTATTTTCATAGCTTTTGTACTGCTAGTTTAGGCAGATTAATAATCAGATATATGCATGGAAAATATCATGGTACCAAACAGAAGTGTCATTTGATGATGAATTCACTAAACATATTACTTAGTACAGCCCATCTAAGGTTCTTTATATTTTACAAAGCTGAATAACTTGAAATATTTGGGGCACCTGCTGTTGGGAAATACTGCCTGTTTTTTGATTTTATACAAACAGCAGAGTCTTCCATCTGTGCTGAAGTCCTAAAATTTATGAAGCGTGAAAAAAGCCTGCTGTCCTAGGCCCTATTTTTTTTGCTGCAATAGAAAAAAAATACAGAAATATTAAAAAATAAAAAGTGCAACAATGCTTAAAATTGAATGACCTGGATAATGATGCAGAAGCAGCAAAAACATTGTCTTGTTTCAGCACAGTCAGTTCCTCCAGTATAAAAGTTCTCTGAAAAGTTAATTTTGCTATCTCAAAGATGTTCTTGCATTGCCAAATGAACAAAGTCTAACTTTTGGTCAAGAGAACTTTGTTAGGAAATATAGTTGAGCAAGCGGGAAAGAGCAAGTCTATTTCTTTGATCTTTTGAGGAAAACTAATTCTAGAAAGTCTTGGTTCACTCCTATTCTGTTTGGTGGGACATAAAGCTTTGGGTTGGGTTTGGCTAGCCTTGGAGCCAAGGTTTATCTATGCTGAAAGGAGGAGAAAGTAGCAATAATAGTGGCTTACTACAGCAACCAGCACTGATGAAAGACATCACTGCAAAAGAGTGGTTTGATCTATATGGGCATGTACAGCAATACACTAATATCCAATTAAGTTGAAAGAAGCACGCATTACTCAATGAACTTACCAGCCTGCGGATCTCTCTCTCACATTCCCGCTTTATTCTATTAATCTCATCCTGATGGGATTGATAAGCCGTGCGCAGGTCAGCAGCCTTCATTTTATCTGCCTGCATAATGTTGTTCAAAGCTTCTTCAAGCTGCTTTTTGCCAGATTTCAGCTCCAAGATCTCCTGTTGCAACTTCATCCGTTCACCATCAAATGCCTTGCGAGCCTCCTCCTTCGCTTCACTCAGCAGTGCCGTCTTCACTTTGTCAGCCGCCCCATCCCGCAGCACGTTGACTGTTGACTGCAAACGCTGAATTTCACCATCTTTGATTTTCACCATTCTCGCTACCTCCTGCTCATGCTGCCGGATCAGTAGCTCTCTGACACTCTGAAGTTCCTTCATTTTCTCCTCGTGGAGCTTGGCTTTCAGTTCAGAAACATAGGCAGTGTGCTTGTGCTGCTCCTGCTCCCTTTCTTGCTTAACCTCTTGGATTTTCTCTCTCAATTTACCCACCTAGAACATCAATATAAAATATTAATTAAGAAGTGCTATCACCCTTTTAAAAGTCTTCAAGGAAACTTTTTCTAAAACTTTATTAAAAACTCATCCTGAATATTCAAAAGCAAAGCCTGCATTCCTGATGTTTCTCTGTCCAGTACACACGTGGAGAACCAGGGTTAGCAAAAAGCCACATGTGTGCACAGGAATCTGCCATGGAGATGTGCTATTGGCTACAAAGTTCTCATAGTTTTAAGTAATAAAATAAAACTAGTCTACTTATCTCCTCCACCAACCATCCCAGACTATTCTCACCCATAACCCCTCTACTGCGCCCAACAAGCAGATGGAAAACAACTCAGAGAGAAAAAGAGTTTCTGTTTATGCTGGGAAGGAGATGCTAGAAAACTTTCTAGCATTTGAAGGACCATATTTCATGGATGCTCCTAGTGACTTAGATCTTTACATACATTCAATTAATTCATTCCTACAATATTCCTCTGTAGGTAAGCAGCACTGTCACTCTTTTACAGATGGGATGCTCAGACAGGCATAGATTGATTTACCTAATTTCCAGACATACTCTCTTTGTGATTTGAGTCCCAAATTCCTACATCCAAATCCACTATTTGACCTAACATACTTCCTGCTAATCAGATTAAAAAGGATTTTGTCTTGAAGGAACAGAGAGAAGACAACCTGTCAATACAGGGGAATTCTTATCAGTAAGAACATGGGGAATAAAAATTAAATTAAAAGGACAGGGGAGAGAGAAAAGAAATATTGATTTTTGATTTCTTAATTTTTTACCTACCTTAATGGGAAAGTCTTTATTAGATAAGCCAAAAAAACTGGCTTTCTGAAACATCAAGTCTATTCAAGGAGCCTCAGACAGAGCAATCCAAAACTGAGACTATTAACAGTCCCCGGACACTTCAGAAAATATAGGCCAGTGATGCTAAGGGCTTTGGAAGGAGTAAGGGAAAGGTCTTATAACCTATTATAGTAATACCCAATGTGATGAAACCTCATTATAAAGTGATGCTCAGCGTGCTGCATGAAAGTGATCTTTTTTCCAAGTGGAATTACATATTAATTTAGAAGAAGAGAAAAAAAAAAAAGGAAAGAAAAAAGGAGAAGGGTTTGCTTATCTGTTACAATGTACCAGAAAGGTTATGATGTATTTCACATCACATGTAGTGTCAGTAACATCCTTCTATGATCCCTATCACAGTGACTGCCAAAATACAGGCTCTATACATTTACTGCTCATTTAAAGCAAAGTCAGAGGCAAAGATTTAAAGACTTGTGTTTTAAATTGGAGTGGCAATACAATCCTACATAACAGACAGTGCTTTGTGGGAAAAGGAGGCTACCAAGCAGCAAGATGTTAGTCACTGACACAATATTCCTAGACTGCTTGCATCTATACTATACAAAGCTGAGATCTATAGTCATACAATGCACTTGATGATAAACTAAGCTAGAGCTGCAACTTGCCTCAGATTAGTGCAGGAAGAATGTTAACATTCTGTTAACATTCAGACTATCAGTTACTATGAAGGTATTAATTAAAACAGATTAATTTTTGCATGGTGCTGGATTCTACAGTCAAAATAAAAGTAAATGGTTAATTAAAAGCAATAATACTAGTTCATGAAAGGCCTAGAAACCTTCATTATTTTGTTTACTGAAAGCAAGTTGGATCCAAACAGGCACTTTTGTGTATTTGCTTTAGGAAAAGCAGGATGTCTTAAGTGAAAAGACTCAGATATAACTCACCCAATGAACTCAAGATTACTACTTAATTTAAGAGTGACCATGAGAAGTAACATGTCAATCTCATTTTAAGTCCACAGCTCTGACAGTAGGATTTCCAGAGTCTGAACTTCACCTAAATCTTCAGACAGGAGAGTTTCCCTGTGCAGAAGATGTTATGACCCTGTTTAACCAATTGAAACCTACCCTGGATTTAAACAAAGCAAAAACAAAGCAATAAAAATAAAAAGGTAACAGGCTGAAGCAGGAGAGGGAGGGAGGTATCTATGTTTTCATGACAGTATTCTTGTAGATACACTGTAGACCAAACACCAGCTGAGACAACACTGTAATTCCAATTGTGGAAAAGGTAACAGATCTGAATCAGACACCATCAGAAGCAGACTTTATAGCACAGATACTGTTAGTCCATGCCAGGATGACATAAATAACATATCTTCATGAAGAAAGATGCAATTTCCCCCCCCTCCAAAATGATGCGTCTGGTTATTGGAGATTATCTGCAGGAAATATCCACGTTATTTTGTCTGGCAGGATGACATTTATTCCTAGTCTACAGTGGATAACATCAGGTTTGCATTAGGGTACCCAGTTCCACACAGTAGTCTAAGACTCTCCCATCTCTCCTCATAGCATGGAGGTTGGACTTGATGACCCATCCAACCCAAACCATTCTATGACAAAGCTAAGCCACTTATTCACCTACTTACTATCACAAGTGGATGAGTTTATATATAAATTTGCAAATGAACTAACACTCGTTATTCACTTAAATGTGTCAGTTATTTCCTTATTGGTGAGCAAAGGAAATGAAACTGAGAAATGAAACCCAGTAATGACAATACAGGAAAACTGTACAATGGCACATATAGGCAAGGTTAATATACCTGCAGAACTACAGTAATTGTACATAAAGCATGCAACTGAAGGCCTGTTTTCACTACAACACGTTAATGGGATGGGACTTCCTAAAAATATTTGTAATTTATGAGAAACAGATGCTGTAATTTTGGAGGAGTACTGAGATACACAAAATTACTTGCTGTATTTTTCATCTTTCACTGAATTAAGGGAAGGCAACATCTATATGCACTGCTGCTGTGTGTGACAACACATATTAAATGCCTCAGAGTACCTGAATATTATCATATATCAGCGAGTCACTTTCACTTACAAAGCTTCAGCAAGTGTAATGTAAACAAGAAAAATAAGAATCCCTCTAAAACCCCCTGGATTTTCACACTGCATCTAAAAGTCTATCACTCATGACCCAGCAAAAAAAGACACATCCTAATTCTAAAGGTCTTTTAAAAGTCTTTTCTTCTTATTACTTCTTGTCAGAGAAGAGATGGAGATTTAGGTCTGCCTGTTATGTCTTCCCTGAAAGCTATAAGCTGTCCTTAACACACTCCTTCCGTCCCTCTCTTGTGTGCACTCTGCAGATCTGTACTCGTCTGTCTTTCAGTGCGACTGACTGAATGAAAATAATAGCGTGGCATTTACCCATATGCCTAAGTCTCAGTTTCAAAATGAACTTAAACTTTAAAGGAATTTGTCTTTTTTTAGTTTCTGGCAGTTTTTTATTTTTTTAATGAAGAAAGCTGTTCCGTTCGTAGGCAGAATATGAAGCATAGCCAAGAAATGAAGCCAATAGGGAAAAAAAGTCAGGCATGCTATCAGGACACCAATAAAACAGGTATTTTCTGCCTTTCTAAATGAAATCTTTAATAATATGCAGCACACATTGATACAACATTTTTGCCAAAGCAGAAGCTAGCTTCTTGTAAAAATAATGACAGACATCATTGCTTCTTCCTTTTCTTGTGCCTGAACAGTAGCTGAAAGAGGGATTTGCTTTAAAACAATATGACTATTATCACAGCATGTTTGCATCTAGAGGTGTTTTCCTCAACAAGATACTTGGAGAAATTGAGAAAGAACCATATTAGTTCATTATCATGAACTAGAACCAATGACAATTTTAAAACTATGTGTTTCCTAAAAGGCAATAAATTATTAAACCATATATGTTTCCAAGTGCTACTGAACCACTGCCCCAATAAAAATGTATTGATAAGAACTTACCAGGGGCTACCTCATTTTTTTTCTCTTGGATTTAAATGCAGATTATTTTTCACTTGTGTGCAATAGTCAATTACTTGGGGAGCAGGGAAATACTCTCCACACAGCTTTTTGCCAGGAACTCAGGTTATAGTAGATAATTTATTGCCAACTGTGAAAAAGGCAGGTTACCGGGGTGAGCCCAACAAGCAAAGACACTATTGTTTATTTTACAAACCAAATGCACTGGCAACTTTGTTTCAAAAACAGCAAAACAAGTCGGTATGCTTTGCTTTTTCTCACTCATAGTGTAATCTAGTGTCCAACAGCATCCTTTCTATTAAAATTTCAGTGTGCACTGGACCATGCTTAAGTGAATGGCTTGGAGCATGGCAAGACTCTTGTGGACGTACGCAACCAAAGACATCCTATGAAAAAGGCAGCCCTAACACAGACACCATTTTTAGCATCATAATAGCCAAATACTCAGGACACGGGAGATGCAAATGAAAACCAACAACCGACTGATGTCCAGCCAGTCCCGCCTGGTTTTATTGCTTAGCATCACATCATATGGTATGGAATATTCCTTTGGTCAGCTGGGGTCAGATGTCCCAGCTTTGTCCCTTCTCTGCTTTTTGTGCACCCCCAGCCCTCTCGCTGGTGGGATAGGCTGAGGAGCAGAAAGGCCTTGACTGTGTAAGCACTACTCAGCAATAACTAAACCATCAGTGTGTTACCAACATTATTTTCAGCACAACCCCAAAACACAGTCCCATACAAACAGCTATGAAGGAATTTAACTATCCCAGACAAACCCAGTATACTCAGTTACCATTTTTACAGTCAATCGGCCTCTATTGCTTACTTCATTTATTTATGATCATACTCATTGTTCCTTCTCCACAGCAAAAAGCCTCCTATGTTCACTCTTCACTCTGTCCACTTTCATAAATATCCTCCTCTTCTATGCCCATTGTCAGTAACAAATAAATAAAACTCTTTAAAAAAAATAAATATCAAGGCACCACATCTACTGCAATCTTTCTTGCCTCAAGCATTTCCACTTCTGATAATCTTTTAACCTAAACTTTCAAGATTATGTGATAATATCAGAGGATCAGAAAAAATGTGTTTCTGTTTATATCTGAATATATGAAACTTATCTCTTTTCCCTGTGCTATATTTGGGTCCGCTAACAACTTCTGCAGATGCCAGTGATCATCCTTTTGTGCCAGATTTAAATAGTTTAATTATGTAATTTGATAAGATACATTAAAATTAAAAGACCCTACTACAGTTCTGACTAGAGTTTTTTCTGTATATCATATTGTAAGATGAGGCTTTTCTTAGGATCTCTTGCACTATGTTTTCTGTCAACTTCTTCTAACATGATACCTTCTACAAGGTTTAATTACCATAATTTCATGTTGATTCTTCCAAATTAATGATAATCATTGCTTAATATCTGTCTATTGGTGTCTCACTCTTCTCCAGTATCGTTTTTACCTGGGTAAAAAATTTCATTATCATGTCTAGCATATTCACTCATTGAATAACTTTGAATTCTGATTGAAATAACACTATCACATTATGAATAACTTTGTTACTGTCTAATGTTTGACAGACTTCTATCAATTTGCAAATTCTCTCATTTTAGTGATTTTTTTAAAGTATTAAGAACTTACATTTATATATCAAGCATGGAGATCAGCTGAATTCAAATGCCCTTCAACTGCTGTCAGGAAACAACCTACCCAAAGGGACTTCCTTTTAGTCCCAGCCAGTAGGGACAGGAGTAACTGTACACACTTTTACCAATATTTCATCCATTTTCCTGCTCCAAGAGGGTGGCTGTATTTCATTCCCAATTACAATACCCTAGTGCCTCCTTGCTGTTCAGTACACTCCTTACAGTTCAATAAGTTAACAGGTTCCTTTCTTATTCCGTACATAGCAGACAGGAATAAAACTCATTTACATATATATTCAGCATGTCTAGATTCTCAAACCAACCATTGTATTCAGAGTTCTTCAGTACATACTGGCCATAATTCTTTTCCATACAATTTCAATCCCCAGTAAATAAAGCTGTTTTAACAGCATGACGTGTTTCTTTTTTTTAATTTCACATTTTAAAAGTAGCTTTTTTTTCCCTGACTTACAAGCAATCACTGTTACATGGATTAAACATCTGACAACAAAGCTCAAAAAAAAAAACAAAACACCCCACCAAAACCAAAGAAAACCGGGAAAAGCATGAGGATTTACAAAAACAATCTATAAAATGGTGAGGTGGTACAGTGATACAGAGCTGACACATCTTATTTATACTAACACCCAGAAGTGTTGTGATCTCTACTCTATAAATGTCCAGTCACAAGCAGAATATGGATATTTAAAAGCAATAGCAGAACTCAGTGAAGATGGAGTAATAGTGACAGCAAAAACTATAACATTAACATCTTCCTATCAGGAAGAAAATATTACCAAAGTACTGGAAATCTATCTTCTAATGTTTGATAACCATCTCAGTAAGCATAGGTACTTTGTAACACTTGCTCCTAAATATTCATGGATCTCAGCACAAGTATTTATATAACAACTGAGCTGATTCACAATTTCTTGACTCTGACTGCCAAGACCATGCTCATTCACTGCAGCTCCTTGTTCTTACTGCACCAGACTTTAAGGTTCAGTTAGAGCAAGTCCTGCCTCCATTCATATTAAAATAAGTATAATTTTTGTACTTTGGCCATCTCTTTTTGTTACTTATTACCCAAATTGGATGCTTTCCAACCAAATATTTCCACTAGCAGAAAGAGGGCAGTATGTGAGCCCATGTTCAGTTCATGCATTTCCTTCTCCAGACTCTTCACAGATGGCAGCAAACCTGGAGTCCCAGGAGGACACCTACATATCAACAGGCTGCCCAAACACATCCAACAAGGGTTCCCAAAACAAAAGGTAGTAAAAGGGAACTAAGGCAGGGCCACAACTTTTTCTTCACCCCTTTGGCAACATAAATGAACCCAGCTGCTCGTACACCAGAGGCCCAAAACACCACCAGCAAGATCCACGATGATGTATATTCAAAGGAACTGCAACCATCAATTTGGATCAGATATCACATAAACAGAGGGGAACAATTTTACAGGAGAAATTTCTTTAGATGTCTCAAAAACAAATGAAACAAAAGGAACTGGGAAAATATGCACACAGCTTTGGGTGTCTCTTGGGTATAATTTTATTTCAAAGAAACCAGTATTTTGCAGGCAGGAATACATTAAGAGTAATTTCCATTTGTGATGTCTCGAATCAATTAAAAAGTTCTTACTCAGATAAATTACTAAGGTAGGCGTATACGTGAGGGACAAAATAGTTTAGAAGAATAAAGCTGAATGAATTGGCCCCACCAGAGGTTGTTACCTTTCCTAACACAGTGTGTCCCCCACAGGCCACAGAGCTGCCTGTTTAGCAGCTTCAATACATTCTCTTACCTCTGCCAATAAAGCCATCTAATGTAGTTAGAGTTTTCTAGGCACAGTGGTTTTACTTTTCTGATACTAAGCCATAATTTCTGTTGGCTTTGCTACTCATTTTTAAGCTACAATGTAAAGAGGACAAGTCTCTATGGCTTTCATTTACTCATCTTGTCAGTCAAGGCATCCTACAGAACTGCTTCACAGAGAGAGAGGAGGCTGGTGCCCTGTTGGTGGGAAATAAACGACACGTTTCAGGTCTAGTGAAATGACTTTGAGTAAAAACCACAGCAGAGATGTGGGAAAAAAGCTGAAGACCTCTTCCCCCCTCATCCTCCCTGAAACGCACTCCAACATGCTGCAGAACTTACTATGGACTGCACTATGTTTAGTAGGATTTTAGAGTGCTCTGGTTGTAATTTCCTCTCATATTCACCTACACGTTACAAATGTGAGCCCACTCATTTCTCTGCACATGTATGTGCACAATACTCAGATGTGCGTCCTACAGCCACCTTGATACTCCAGAAAATATGAAATTGTCAAACTATAGAAAGATGAACAGGTAACCAAACTGAGACAACTCTTAGCAGAATGGATATAGGTAAATAAGCAGATTATTTATAGAATATGTTCCTGCAGCTGTCACTTTATAAGCTACACTTTATTCTTAGTTGAATCAGGGTTAAACGACACTATTACAGGTAAAGCATGAAACTTGGAAGAATATCAGAGCTAAATTCTTCTTAGGTTTTTTTTAGAATCTGAGTGATTTAACCACTCAAAATTTATTCTTCTGTTCAAGGTATAGCTTTATAATTATGTGTTCTTTTTAATGTAATTAAAATATTATAACAAAATTCATACCTGTATGTCTACATAAAAATTAATACAGAGCTAAGTAGGAAATAATACAAAATAACTAAAAAGAAAAAATTACTAATGTCCTTGTAATGTACTATAACTCACAAGTTTCTTTCCAAGTATAAGTATTGAGAAACTAAAAACAGTAAAATCATGCAATATTTCAGTTGATAAATGTAATTTTGAAGGGTAACAGCCACCTGTACATTTCATGGTATGCGGTTTTAAGAAGCAGAAGTAGTTTGTGCCACTCTCATTTTATAGTTTATTCTCCTTATATCAAAGAGTGGGAGTTGGATGAAGAAGCTAATAGCAAAAACACCCTGACGCTTCCGTTCACTCATCAGTACTGACCCCAAAGAAATACAACTTTTTGCTTTAGTCTACAAAGAAAAATTTCCAAGACAAGGCAAATTCAATTGTCTGATATATACTGAAGGTATTGTATCGGTCAATCAAGAATTAAGGCTTTATTGGGTTTTTTTTCCTCTGTCAGAAATAAACTCTGAAGATTATATTTGTAGAAATGGTTTTGTTCACTTTTTAAATTGAAATATTAAAAATAAGACCATTCAAATCTGAGTATCACACAGCTCTTAAAGAGGAGAGAACATACAGGAATCTATTATTAAGGTGTTCCAAATTTTAGTCAGATATAAAGAAACAAGGCTAGAATAAAATTGCATTACATAAAGTGAATACAGGTTTTCAGTGAATACTTGAGACCCTTGTAACTACAGTATCACCAAACAAAACCAGATAAATCCATCTCCATATGGATTTATCTCCAGGACTGTCTTGCAAAAAGTCAAATGCACTAATTGAGATTAATAAACTAATAGTATAGAAATAAGTTTATTGGCTTATCTACGTTTTAAACTGCTCCAGATATACATAAAAGTAAATGCTAATCTTTATAAATATATATACATATACTTCATGAACAAACAATTTCTCCTAGGTGTTCTCTTGGAACACCTGCTGAATATGTGCTAGATAGACAAACATTATTTACCTGTTTCATTAGCAAGCAGATGCATCATTGAACAGCTCAGAGCAATAGCACATAACCTCAGCAAACCAAACCAGGACTCCTACACAGATGATTTCCTGTCAATTTACATTCTCCACAGGAATCTGAATAAGGTATAGATGTTTGACTTTGAAGACACTTCTTTTTACGACATAGTTTTCAGTGCAAAGATCAAACACTAAACTCCCTCATTGCCTTTAAGTCACACAAAGCTATTGCCATTTGTATTGCTGTGACTGCAAATTTCAGTGACACTGTGTTTGGGGATATTTACTTCCTTTTGCACATTAAAATAGCTGGCATCAATTTCAGTTCATTAGTGGTTCAGTTCTTTGACACATATTTTTCTTTTATGGCTAAAGCATTTTAGTAGTGAATTGGTTTAACATTCAAGCTGTGCTGGTTTCCAACATTGCTACTGTTAAGAATAATGATCACAAAATGTAGACAGACAAATACCTTGCTTTTTTCTTGCTGAAATTCTATCTGTATGTTGGTTAGTTTAGTTCGTAGTTCCTCATTAGCAGCTTGCAGGGCCTCAATCTCCATGTCGCACTTCTCTCCCTTGGCACGACTTTTCTTTGACATAATTATTTTTTAGGTTTAATATAAAATTTTTGTTCCACACTGAGCTACCAGCTAGTGCCTTCTGCTTTTAGCATTTAAGAGTCACGTAGTTTTCAACAAAGGTTTTCACACAAATCTCTGCCATCGTGGGAGCAGTCTCTCATGTCCTGGAAGAAACAAAGTAGTGGTACCAGTATTAGGCTGCAGAATTGAACAGATTTAACACCCAGTTTTAAAGCACATTGAACTTCCTTGTAGTATATATTATATTGCGTAGTATACTAGGCCTTGAAAGAAATAGATCAGAAAAGAAGAAGTTACTCCATATTTCATCATCTTACCTAAACCCTACCCACTGTAATCTGATGTCCACAGAAATAAAACTCTTTACAGTTATGGTGAATATAGCATAAAACCATAAATTATATCTTATTCAAGACCTGATTTGGTCCATGCTTAGGATTCCCAAAAGGCAGAAGGACAACCATAAATTAACTGAGGCTGGTGGTGTTTCAGTGGAAACACTATTTCCTGTAGTAAAAAGAAAGCACTTCTCACCTTAATGTTTCAGTTATAATCTATTATTCATAATTATCATCAAGTATCACAACATCAGAACATATGGAACATGTATCACAAAACTGGAAAAACATCTTCAAATTACTTTTTAAAAATATCATCTATATAAACTGCTTATGTTCAGGGTTGATACTGTTTGAAATGCCTTAACCAAAACATGGAGATATTTAACTTCATTTTCATTCCCCAGCATGCCTCTTAGCTTGAAATTTTGAATTATTAAAAACAGCTGTATAATATTCAAAGAGCATATCAATAGCAGACAAAGAAGCCTAATTCCAATAATTAGGAAATCCCACAATTAATCTGCTTCATACATAGTTATAGAAGCTTAATCTGCAGCTCTTTTCCCTCTCTGCTGTTCTCTAAGAATAACTTGGAACTTCACAAGAACAAACTGAGAAGCAAGTGCTGTCAATGCTGGATTAGTTTCCAAACTCACAGCCTGTGCTCATTTAAAATATCCACATAATTTTCATCACTAAATTGCAAACAAAGTAGAGAGTACTTTAATACTGAACTACATTTCTAGAGTATTATACTTCCAAGAAAATTGCTCCTAAATTGACTTTAAACAGTAAGCTGCTCTTTCTAAACTACTTCTACCTGGAAGTTATTTTAGAAATTGTATTATAATGAAAATCACATACATTCTCTTGGAAATACTTTCTAAAGGGTCAACAACTAATATCTCAGGTGTGTACAGACCAACACCATTTGGTGAGTCCAATTAAACATGTTTTATTCTCCTTTTTAAGGACTGGTATACAAAAAACGAGGCATTAGTTATCTTGCTCAAAATGACAAGTCAATCAGAGAAGTGAACAGAATTCAGGATACCAAGTCTCAGTCTGTTTGAAAATAATCCCATGGAGTTCTTTTATGTATGAAAAGCAATTGAAAAAAGACCAACTAAGCCAATTATTTGCTAAAGTAACTTAAGTAAAACTATTGTTCTGCTTTGCAATATCAGACGTCTTTCATTCTAAACCTAATAATCTATCAATTTATCCTGTGCAATATTGTGTTCTTCCTGAAGTGTCTGCCTCTTCTACCAGAGCTTTTAAACTCTCCTATATTTCCCCAAGTTCCAACCAAAGCTCTCTCTCCGTCCAGGCCAGTCGTCTTCCCCATCAGCTCATCTGCTTTCACATGTCAATGGCCTGCTCCTGCGCCTTTAAGACTTCCTTCTTGAAGAAATGCAGCCTTCCTGGACTGGATGTGAACATCTAAGCTTGAATTTATGCACTGCAGACGATAGTCTCTCCATGACTGCAGAGTTCATATTCTATTTCAGAGTCACCATCACTCAAACCCTTTAATGAATCAGGCCCTACAGTAAGGTACTAGAATAATGTTACTGTTTACTTTTGAAAATGTGGGGTTCCAAATAGAATTCTTATTATTTACATTTAATGCTTAAATCAGCCATAAAAAATAAAGAGTTCAGAACTACTCTTTGAAGTACTCTTTAGAATTTAAAAATGAGAATCTCAAAATATTGTTCTCAGCCTTTTTCCTGTAGCTGGCAACAGTTAAAAATTGTACCTTTTGTACAATGATTGTACCTGAAGAAAATCACCCTCTTGTCTCTAAGGCATTAGGAAAAAACATCCCAAAAATTCCCAAATGAACAAAAAAGCCACACCATCAACCTGCACTGGTGGGTATAGAAACATTTCCATTTTTACCTTTAACAAGATAAATCTTCCAGCCTATCTATTTCAAAAACAGGAACTATGGCAACACAAAGCCTCTGTATACACTCAGAGAGGCACAAAGCACAGACACACAAGTGCTACAGTAGAAGAGCACGCATCTCGATTCCCGATTGGAAGGGTTACAACCAGTGAGTGCCCAGATTCCCTTCTAGTTGACTACCCACATTTACTGTTTGGATAAAGGTCTGGATGAAAACACACCACCACATGTGTAAACACAATGACATATAAAAGAACTTTACTGACTCAGTTTCAACCAACAATGTACTTACTAATTCACCATATGATACTTCAGAGGTAAGTTCACGAAGCCACTACAATACAATCCCACAATTCCTCCATGAATAAAAATAACCACTTCCTGCACTGAGTTCTACACACTTATTGCAAACTTTAATATCATATGAATACATTTTGTATGTCACCAAAAAAAAGGATACAAAAGAGTAATGGATTCTGAAGCCCCAGCCACTTTTTTCAGCAGTCTCCAGAACATACCAAGTGAGTCACTTTATTTGATACCTATTTAATAGGTATAGGGGCACTTGGTCATTCAGAATAAAGAACCACAAAAGAAATAAACTAATTGGATTTGAATCAGTTTCAACTGTTCAACAATTTGGGATATTGGCATGTGAGAAATAATAACATTTAACATGAAAAAAAATTATTACTCCATTTGTGTTAGACCTCTTGGGAAACCCATTAAATGTCTAAGGTAACTGGAAAAAAAAAAACAGCTGAACAATGTTGCAATCATAACTTGCAGTTTCTCTTCTATTTGTTTTACAGAATTAAAGGATATGCTTGATCATTACCTCAACCTCATCTCTAGTTTGAGCAAGAAGGGCCTAGAACGAAGTCATGAATTCCTATATGTTTCTAGATATTAAATATTAATAAAACATAACAAAACAAAAAATAATTGCTGCATAAAATGTGCAAATGTAGTATCAAAGAATTTTGACTACTTAGGAGTAAGAAAAGAAGGAACTTCATTATTTTTCACCAGAAACCATGAAGAACAACTCAGTTTAAAAAAATGCAAGTCTTCAAACATGATTCTGTACTGAGTACATGAAAATAAGTGGAGGGTTATATCTTTAGAGACTGAATTTTACAGTAATAAAAAGTAATCAACAGGAATAGTAAATACAGTCAAATAATAAATGTGGATACAATAACATGGTAACAAGAAAAATTTACTAAATTGTGTCATCCAAAATCCAGCATTCCAGTCTTGATTCAGAATTGAACAAGGTTATTCAGCTTCAACATGATTTTTAGAAGGTGAAGGTGAAGTTGTTAGTGACTCATCTCAGCTGAAACACCAAGGAACAATACAGGTACAAGGGGGAAAAAAAATTTAAAAAGCTTCTTCTAGACATTTTGCCTCCACATAGATATTGGGGTTTTTTCATTTTACTTCAACGTTTCTTTTGTAATACTACAGAAACTAATATGGTTTACCTATAATCCTTATTATGCTTGTGAACCTGAGGCATAAGTACATTCTTAGTACAGCACAATCTTCAATATTCAAGTTTAAAACAAATTTTATTACCCTAGCACCTGACAGTAGTAAATACAGTGGACACAAGTACAATGCTAACTTCAGAAGTAACTGCCGGTTCACCTATGTTACAGTTTAAAACCCCCACATAATCAACCAGTGACTGTACGGGAGAGATGTGCATAGCTCCCAGTGCCCAAGGCACGTTTCTCACAAGGTTCAGATGGCCTACATTTCCTGCTTCAACTCTCAGTTCTATGTAACAAAACATGACTGAATGGATAAAATCAAACGCATCTCTACAGAATGTAAAATAATACTTTTCCCAGCCAAAAACTATAATTGCCATTTATCAGAACAATTTTCTAAGTATACTGTAGACTAGTCACATTTTAGATACCCATTTGTTAGCTACCTACAGAGAGATCTATTTCTATAACAGTAGAGCTTTTGAGGGTTCTTTTAAATCCTACCCCACTTAGGGTAACGTAGTTTTTTTGGTGGATAAAACTTACATTGGTGGATAAAAACATCTTTATTGTTATCTAACAGCTCCAAATTCATTTGTGCAGATTCACAGCCTACAGTCTTGAGCCATTCTGGCTTTAATAACAATACTCCCATAGGTCCAAACTATATGGAAAGTAGGAAGCTCTAAGTATTTTTAACTGCGAGGTTGTTGTTTTTTTTTTTTTTTTTTTTTGCAAAAGGAGCTCATAGTAATGTAATTCTGTTGAGCACAACTGAACAGCAGTAACTTCTTTACTTTGTAGAGATTCCAGCATAGCATGAGTTAGGCTTTTATGACACCTAACTCTGAAGGTTCCATAACAGGTGATATCCTGAGGATGAGCACAGTATCGTCAGTCAGTTAGCCCTTCAGCCAAGGACAGTAACTGCTTCCTTTATTTTTTTCAATGTCATCCTAGAAAAGGTGATCTACTGAGATTCTGTATCTCTATAGAAAATTCCCATTAGTCCCAGGAATTGGTAGCTGTATTTTAACACCCCACTGCAAATCACTGCCTTGCAAGTCCTTACGAAGCAATTAACAGAACTAGAGTTCGGCAGGTTTCAGAATGAATTTCACCAATGCATTCATTTTTTCTTCAGCTAATTGGTTGCCTGTGTCATGTATGCATCTGTTAAAACACATGCAATTAAAATACGTTTCCAAAGGCATTGTTAACCACAAAAAAAAGAGGATA